CAAATAGTGATGTCCAGGACAGGCACATACTAGTCCCGACCCACCACTCTGGCTGGGGTGGGGAAAATCTGATTGAAAATTAGTGCTTTGTGACCCTCTCTATCCTATCAACATTTGCTTTTTTTCTACCTACATATATATACAGTGTAACCCGGATATAAGAGAGTTGTCGAGACCAGAGAAGAAGTCTCTTATATCCGGGTTTCTCTTATATCCGGGTTTGGTCTAATTTATATACATTAACACAGGCTCTAATTTGGGACCAGAAAAAATCTCTCTTATATCCGGGTTTCTCTTATATCCAGGTTACACTGTATATTACAAATTAAACTAAGCACAACTGACAATTAAGGGATGAAAAATTTTTGTGGATTTTGATGTCATTCTGGGGTCTTTTTTTTTTTTTTTTTTGTCCAAATCCGTGAATTTGTTTTGCTCATGATAAGTCTTTAAAAAACACTATATAAATTTCATTATTTTTTATTCATAATGTTGAATGTATTAAAATATTTCAACAAAAAAAATCTCAAGTTGATGTTAAAAATTTCTGCTAAACATTGTGGATTTATTTAAGATTGATTGATCTATCATGACATATCGAATTTGTATTTAGATACACAATTAGGTTACAATAAAATTTGTATTTTATATGAATACTACATTATGAAAACTTAGATGTACTAGGGGGCATAACATAGATTTAGAGGGGGACTAGGGGCAAGAAACTCTTGCACTGCACCCTGGTGATGTCATTTTTAAAGATGATATATATAGGACTGGCCTTACATGACTCAAGGATATAGGTGTGTGAATTTGAATCATCTTCTTCACTCCTTTGTGCCAGATGTATCTTTTTTTCTTTTTTTTTTTTTCCTTGTATATTCTAGACGTTTATGAATTACAGATGATAAATCTTCATAGTATTGGCCCTCAAAATTTATTGTATATTTTTTCTCCCCAATCCTTGATTTTTAAAGATTGAGCTTAATTTTGGACTTATGTTCAGAGAAAATCAAAATCCATCCTGGCATAAAAGGAAACAAACATGGTCTTTATTAATCATTGCAACACTTAGAGAAGAGCCCGATTATGAAAAGATTATATTCTGTCATCCAGGCTAAGTTATTGAATACACCGGGTACATTAAGTTATCTTTCTAATCACAACTGGGACCTCAGACAGACAACACTTTCCTCAAAATATGTGCAGTGCCCAAAAGAGCCAATTTTAGGATGACTCAAAGTTGGTATGGTATTCCCAGTTGGTCAAGGAAATAACAGTTTTAATGGGTTTGATCCCAGTGTGCCAATCACCACTGGAATCACCTTGATATTCCATTCTCACATTCCAAACAATCTTGCCATTTCAACTTTCGAATCAGAGTAGTTTGTAATTTTCTCAATCATTTTGTTTGCTATATTTATGCCATTTGGTATCGGAACATAAATATTAATTGTTGTTACTGCTACATAATCATCATCATCATCATACTCATCATCATCATACTCATCATCATCATCATCATCATACTCATCATCATCATACTCATCATCATCATCATCATACTAATATACACTTGTGTATAAGTTGACTTCATGTATAGTGCAATCCCTGAATATTTTGCATGAATTTTTACCCCTCTGGAAAAAAAAAACAAAAAAACTTACCTGCGTATAGTGGAACTGGTCACTGAAAATGTGTGATTTTTAACTACTTTAAAAAAAAAAAATTCCTATATATAGTGCAACCTCCTATTTTTTTGTGTAAAGAAAAAAAAAACTGAGTGTAAAAACTTGCGCTATACTCTAATATATAAGATATTGATGTTTTAGAAACTAGATGTTTTTGTAACCTGTTGTATCATTTGTTAGAATTTAAACAAATGTCAAATAATTTATTCCTCCTTATGAAATTATATAGTGATGCAACAAATTTTTGCAGCAGTGTCAATGAAAAAAAATAATTGTGATTTTAGCTCAGCACTGACATTTTACTGTCTTTAACTCTTTGTTTATTTTTTCCTGCATGTATAAACTGTCAGTAGAGGGGGGAAAAAAATTGATAATTAATCGTGATTTTGTAATATTTTATTTCAAATCAAATTCAGTCTTATCTCTTTTAAGTTATGCATTGAAAGTTGATAAAATATGCTTTTTATATTTATAAATAAATCAGTATTTTCTAATTTTATCATTTTCACCCCAAGCAAGGCAGTAAAGCCACTAAGACACAAGAGATATTTATTGACTGTAGCAATTGTCATAAGGTTGTATTTGTGAAGTACCTGATGAAGATCAAACTTCCAACAGCTTGCAAGTGTATTCTAGCACAAGGTAATGATCTGGGTGCACTGAATGAGGTTTAAAATTACAAGAGAGAGTCTGAAACTAGGTTTTTCTTTCTCTCAATTTGTCTCAAATTGAGTTTTCAATAAATTGATTCCGATAGCTCCTATTAACTTTGAGGATAACTTTTTGTGGACAGTGCAATATTTTTAAACTTTTTTTTGTTTTTTATGGTCAAAATTTATCTTATATATGGTCCAGTACCCCTGCTATTTACCTTGAGCTCCTTGATAAGATCCAAAGAATCAGTAATATTATTGGTCCTAATCTGGCAGCTCGGCTCCAGTTAATTTTTCTACTGCCGTAAGGTTGACTCCTTGTCTTTTGTATAAATACTTTAATGGTAATTGTTCATATGAGCTCTTTGCTATGGTACCGAGAGTTTTTTGATTTAAGCGCAGTACTAGACTGGTGTCAAGATCTAATCAATTTTCTGTTGAGCTAATTAGATGTAGCTGTAAGTTCTATGCTAGCAGTTTCTTCTCTTGCCCTTCTTGCTTGTGGAACTCCCTTCCGGCTCCATGCTTTTCGGCCAACTTTAATCTAAAAGTTTAAATGCAATGTCAATCGTTATCTACTGTCTGCCTGATTACTCTCTTTTTCTTCTCATCATTATTGTTTCTGTTTCATACCAATTATAAAAAAAAAATATACTTGGATTTTTTAAATTTTTTATTTATAAGGAGTTGATATGCTATTAAACAAACCAAAAATCTGCAATAAAAAAAAAAATTTATTGTCAGGGCAACAATTTATCCTCTCAAAACTCATTAGTCAGAAATTGTGTTGGTGTGTTGAAGTAACTTGTGTAAATCTGCCCCCCTCTTGTCATGACTAAATATATCAGTTTGTTTGAGAAATCTAAAGTAACTTTATTATTTAGCTGAGATACCAATGTCTAACTTGGTTTGGTATAATTGAACTTTGAGGAGGATAACAAGCTTCTATGAATAGTGTATTAAGGAAAAAGATTTCAAGTCTCACTTAACTGCTTGTGATATCCTTGGTATGACAATAAACTTCATCCGACAACAAGGAGGTTTTCAGGAGCATGGAACCACCTCTTAATTGCTGTTGTTCCCAGGACCACCCTGCTTGTGAGTGAAATTGGGTGGAGGGTACCCTTGGGGGCTGTTGATAGCTGTGCTAGTATAAAGCCACACGTCATCGTTGCCGAGGGTTTGAGCGTGCTGGCCTTGTTCAGATTGTTGATCACCCTAGATAACACGCTCTTTCCCAGAAAATGTAACTAAAGTCTGATCAGCATAGTTGCAATATAAAACACAGGTGAGATCTGTGGATGTTGAACAAACATAAATGTGCCTGAGCAGGCGTCTGTGATGGGGATTAACTAGCCACCCTAGTAGATGTGTATCCTCAAATACGAGTGACCAGCTTATTATTATTTTATGTGTGTGTGGTGGACTAGATTTAAAAATATTGTTTGCCGGGAGACAAAGGTGGCCTACCCACAACTACAATGCTATCATTTAATTTTCATGACGAATAAATAAAATTTTCAAAAAATTCATATTGAAAAAAAAATGTAAAATTAAAATTTTTGTGAATAAAATGTGTATTTTTTTAGTAATTACAGTGTACAGGGTGGTCTGAAAGTGTTGTCACCCCTACCAAGAACAATAGGAGTAATACAAAGCACATGGTTTCAGACAATGCACACGATCATGTCCAATACACTTGCAAGCAGCCTGTCTTTCAAATAGTAGGAGCTTGTGTCAGCTATCTGAAATAGAAAATTATATTATGTAGGAGTGACAAGACTTTTGGACCACCCTGTACATGTACTGTACATATTACTAGCAGTAGATACCAAATGTAAATACAGAATTGAATGTTTTACCTATATTTTTAATTTTAAGTAATTGGTTGATATTTTTAAATAGTTTACTGCATGATTTATACATTAAAAGATAGTTCAAAAGCATGATAGATCATTGCATGCAGTCAATTATATTAAGAGCAATTGTTTTTGCTCACCAGATGATTGTTTGGATCAGCCATAAATTGCTTTGGCATCCAATTCATCTAACAATTCCTTTTCAATGGATAGCAACATGTGTGATTCCAAATTCTCCTCAGACAGTGAATTTCTTAACCTAGTATTTATGATCTTTAGATTTGAAAATGTTCTCTCACATTAGACTCAAGTAATTGATAGTATGCAAATGACTTTATAAAATTTCTTATTCCTCTGCATCTACTAAACTCTATATGTGATAACTTTATTTTCCTTTCTGAAATGTAAGCAAAATAATCTAAGGAATAAAAGAATTTTAATCTGACATTATTTTCTCATTACTATTTTACTTGGTACAAAACATCTGAGTAGAGATCAATTTTTTTTTGTTTTTGTTTTTTTAAACACGGTGGTTACAAAGAAAATGTACAAATATTCCTAACCTTGAAAGTTGATATTCTCCTTCTTGCTGAAAGAAGGAAAATATGGTTAGTTATTTATTTAGTACCTGGCAAAAATTAGATGATTATTTATATATAGATCACAATTTTCTGCCTAGGATCAGAGTGTAGTGTCTGTTCTGTGAAATGTTATGCAACGCATTTTATATATGTAAATTTATTTTTATATTGAGTATATATATTTACCTTAAACTTTTTTTTATTTGCCTTGCAAGAATGATATTAATTTTCTTTTGTCTTTCTCTCTTTCTTTCGTCTCTCTCTCTTTCTTTCGTTTCTCTCTCTCTCTTTCTTTCGTTTCTCTCTCTCTCTTTCTTTCGTTTCTCTCTCTTTCTTTCGTTTCTCTCTTTCTTTCTTTCGTTTCTCTCTTTCTTTCTTTCGTTTCTCTCTCTCTTTCGTCTCTCTCTCTCTCTCTCTTTCGTCTCTCTCTCTCTCTTTCTTTCGTCTCTCTCTCTCTCTTTCTTTCGCTCTCTCTCTCTCTCTTTCGTCTCTCTCTCTTTCTTTCGTCTCTCTCTAGCAATCAACGTGTTTATTTTATTTTTTATTTATTTATTTATTTTTTTTAGCCATTGTTATAATTTTTTTTTTTTTTTTTTTGCCTCTTCTTAACCAGATTTCTTTTTCAGGTGTTTCCTTCTAAATGGTTTTAAATGTATAGTTTATATTTAAAGATTAGTAGTTAATTAGTTACAGCACGTTGAGTTTTTTTTTTTTTTTTACATCAATATAATCTCTGGTTGGATTTCCATTTCATCATGTAACAGGTGATAGCAAATCTCGCCCAGTGCATTATTTAACTCTTGCCTGGCTGGATTATTTCAAGTCTTCTGTAAATTTTTATTAATCAGTCCTCATCATCATTGTGCTTTTTTATCATTCTTAATTCTATATATCAGCATTGACTGAGTGATAATTGGTAACGCTACTACTCTAATTAGAGAACTAGTGACATTATTTTTGTCAGTAAAACTTCCACTTCTATTATTACAACTGGTAGTAAAAGACCTGTTTTGAAATGGATTTCCTTTCTTTTCTGCTCGCAACAACCACCTCTTTCCTTTAGTTTAGCTCCACCCTACTTGGCAGGTTGGCAATCTATCCACTCATCTGTCAGATATCGGAGAGGTAGTCTCGCTCAATATTGGATTGTCTTTTAAGGGCGCTTTGGTTCCAATGAGGTTTGCCTATTTCGAGTCGCTCGACTACTAACAACAACAACAGCAGCAGCAATCTCTGTTTTTCGGTTCGCATGCACTAAGCGTGCTTAGCAAAAACGTGATTGGCCCATTTGGCACCTACGGATGCCCAGTGATGCTATTATGTAATTAGCTCGGATTGACTTGTGTGTTCGTAAATATTTTTTCTTGTATATTCTAAATTTTAGAAGAATGTACAAAACAATAAAAAATAAATAAATAGAATCTAAAAATGTAACAAAAGAAGGAAAAAATCACCCCCTCTTTTTTTCTTTTCGTCAATGTGTTCATTTCAGACGACAATGTTGGAAGGATAACGCCTCACATTTTTAGGTTTTGTTTGAAAACATTTTTAATTTAAATGTCTATTTATAGAGAAATAATAAAAAATTCATTTTAAATTTTTAAATTCTTTGAAGATATCTAGAAATGAATCTGAGAAATATTTTTTCTCAGATATCGTATTTTTTTTCTCATATTTTTAAGTTAAATAAAAAAAATGAAAGACTTTAATAGATGATGATTAATATAACTAACAATAACATTGTTTACATCATTTTATTTTTATTTATCAACCCCTTCATCATTTTGAAATTTGTGTTTTTTTGATAATGCGTATTGCTATACGAAGTAGTAAATTCAAATTATGACCCCTGCTGTTCATCCGTACCTGTTGGCTACTTGTCGCTATGGAAGGAGAGACCAAAGTTTGACGAGTGAACAACTTTACAAACTTTTTTATTTTTTATTTAGTACTTTTTTTTTTAGGATGACCTTAAAATTAGGTTAAAATTACTTGATTGAGAGACATTGTCATGTGGCATTTCCTCTGTGAATCTGAAAGTTTTTTTAGGTTGGCCTTACGATGTGTCACTAAACAAAAATTACTCGGATGTGTGCTAGTCAGTGAATGGATTTTTTTTTCTTTCAAGTCAGGTCTGCTAATCTGCACTTTTTCTTTTTTAAAAAAACTGTTGACGGATAAATTCTTTAAAAATCAGTTTATTCAAACTAAAATTGATTGAAGATTGGTGACCGGAGATCCATTCCTTAGCAACTCCCCACTTCCAAAGAGAATGTCATGAGAATACCCTGACTTTTGCGAAGACTAAAAAAAGAAAAAAAGCCCGAGGAATTTGAGTTGAGTTGACCCAGCATAAAAAAAATGCAACATTTAAGTTGTGAGTGTTAAAAATAGAGGAAAAGCCATTTTTTTTTTTTGTTTTTCTTAGACTGGCAAATAAAGTTCCTTTAGAAACTTTGCCACTGATCACTTCCCAGTGTTTATTATTCACTGATCAATCCAATTCGCCATTCCTAATATTCAGTTTGAGTTGTATCTTGGAAAATTAGCCAGAGCTGATACTAGAAGAAGGTTGGTTTGGTAAAGATTTTTTTTCTTCGATTTGTAAAAAAAAAAAACCCTTTTGGAAAGGCTTTTTGTGTATTAAGGACAAGGTGAATTCAGAATTCTTCCTGATTAAAGGAAGGCCTTTTTAAAAAAAAGTAGGCGAAAGAAATACTTGAGGATGTATTTTTACGATCTTTTCTTGGCCTCATTCCCCTCCTAACTGTTAATAAGAATTATACTAGACCAGAGATAATTTATTTAAAAGAAAAACTTTGAAAATCAAGTCTCTTAAATATGTCGGAAATGGCACCTTCGCGATTTAAAATTTTTACTTCCCGTCTACAGTGGGAGATGGACAAATAAATAGCCCGAATTTTAAGGAGCTTTTCCGGACTCTTGAAAAAAAAATGTACAAGTCAGTTCTTAAAAAAATAAAATATCGTTAAACTTACTTCCTAAAAAAAAAAAATAATAATTGATTGTAGCCACCAAAGATTCATTTGCTTGACGAACTAAAACTAGGCCAATTTGTCCTAATTTTGTGCTTTGTGATGATTGAACAATAAAACGATTTAAAAGATGTCTGGGATGGAAAATTAAACATTTTCGTAATTCCATTCCATTGGACTTACTCTTTCCAGTCCTAACATTTTCTCCCAAACAAATTTTCATAAAGATATATTTTGGTATTTAAAGTAAAAAAAAAAACACTATGCTGGAATTTGGGTACATATGTACCGAGTAAGATGCGGGTTTGCGCATGCGTGCCTTTACTTTGTCTTGTCCCATTTCCTTTTTTTTTTTTACCTCTCCATTCAGCCTCATATTGCGTTACTGTTTTTAAAAAAAAATTGGTTTTCTTTGCTTTTTGAGTGGGTGGGCGATGAACATGAAGATTTAAGCAAGAAAACCATTTTAAAATTTCATAGAATTACAGCTGCTTGTCATCAATGATTTACGATATAATTTTTTTTTTCCCCCAAAAGACGAATTTAGAATTTAATGACTAGAGATTATCCAACACGCTGCTGCTTCAAATGTGGAGGGTCATAAATGAAACAGAATGAAAAACGTAAAATAAAAATGATTAGCACGCTTGTCTTGCTAGAACCATTACAACTGAGTAGTGAGTTCGATCCTCACTGGGTATCCCACACTTTCAGCCTTGCTTAGAAAAATCACAATGTATGAAATATAAACATTTTAATTTAAAGTTTAAAAAAGTACTTATTTTTAAGCAGTTATTTTTCAATTAATTATTCTATCTTTTATTTTTAATATTTCAGTTCGTTTCTAATATATATATATATAATATAAAAATAAAAAAATTCAGAATTTTTTAAAATATAATTTTTTTACTGATTACCCGGCAAAAATATAAATCTAGAATTCTGACAACAGTAACATTGTTCTGGACTCATACATCTCGAGTCTGGCAGGGTTTTAAATAATGAACATTTAATCATACACAGCTATACAACTCGTACATAAGTCTAAAAAATTTTGTTTAATGTTCATTTAAATTTTATTCGAAATTCAAAACACACGAGTTCATGTCTAAACATGGGTGTTTAAGGAAAAATAAATGAATTTGTCTATATTTCTGGTAAAAAATGGTTGCTGAAGATATGTTTATAATACCCACGAATTCATGTGCAGATGTCCTCAAGGACACATGGATAAAGGCATTAGTTAGATCCAGTGACAGGACTCAAAGAGTGTGAGTTCAATACCTGGTAAAGGCGGTGGAGAACTTCGAGAGGGGAATTAACAGGCGATAACTGATAACTGACATCCATTAGACATGGCAGATGGAACTAGAACAGTCTACCCCAGCAAGCAAAATAAAGGTTCAGTTCGACATTCCAACCACCTGAAGAAGGTCGGACTGTACAACCGCCAAAACATAATGATAAATATGGCAACAAAGATGAGGATGATAGTCCGATCAATATGAATAGTATAAATGGATTTACTTTAAAAATAAAAAATTCCTACGCTACAGTATTCTTGTATAATCTGAAATGTACTATAATTTTTGATTCCTATTCGGCACAGCCTTCATAAGAAATTTAGAATTGACTTTTCATTGTATGGATTTTTCTTTTATGCCATGTCCTTTCAAGATGTTGGTGATCATCATAACTCTCCATAGATTTTTTTTTTATCTGAGAACTATCATGCTTTAGAAAAGCCTGTTGCCTTCTCCTCGGTTTTGAATTCAGAGTTGTCCTAGACTGGCTGCCAAATCAGGATTAAGAGCCCAGTCCCACTTTCTTGCTATTTTCTCGTGAGTCCAGAAAAACAATGAAAATAAAATAATATATAAACAAAAAAAAATTAAAATTAAAATAAGGCATTTGCTTTCTTTAAAAAAAAACATATCTCTTTTTTTTTCTCACTCTCTTTCTATCCTTCTCTATACTTCTCTTCCAACTAATGAAAAGGCAACCCTCAAATAAAAAGAGGAAGAAGAAAACACTGAACACAACTGCAAATTGGCAGAAGTTTGCTGGGCCATTGTCTAGCCATTGTGATTAGAAATCTACCAAAATAAGAAGCTCTATGCATAACTTCCAATTTAAAAAAAAAAAAAAAATGTAAAAGAACGGAATGCAAAAAAATAAAAGCGTTTTTACCAATCAAAAAAAAAAACAAAACAAAGAGACATTTGATGTTTGCTGAAACCAAGCTTTGCACTGCTAGTCTGGAGTTCTGACTTGGGGATGTTAACAGACAACTGAGAGACAGAAGGGGAGAAGGGTCTATAAGCAAAAGCAGCTGAGCATGTCATGTGAAGAAGTTAAGCGGTTGTCTGCTTAAAACATTTTTCCACCCTTTTGAGAACCGATAAAACAGCAAATTGATGTCTGCAACAATTTTCCAAAGAAAACACTTTCTTGGTTTCTTGACAAAATTTAACTTGTCAACTACTGAACAAAACAGACTTTCACCAACTTGAATTACAAAGGACTCCAATCAAAATTAAATTTAAACAAACATATTATTTGCTTATTCCTTTGAATCTCTTCATTTATTTCTGAAGTTTTTGATAAATATTGCTAAGAACATCTGTCATTTCTCCACAATTTGGCCCATAGCTGAGCTGTAGCAAGATGCGATGAATTTATGCATTTTTTTTTTTTCCTTTCCTTATTCTCCAAGGGCATTTGTGTAGAAGTGAATGCAATGGACTAAGTAGAAATTAGAACTTTGCTGATTCTTTTGTTAATGCTATTCACCTATCTATTGTGTGGGTGGTTAGTGTTTTTGAAAACAATTTTGATGTTTTTGTTGGAGTTAAAATGGCTTCCAGAATCCTCATTAATTTGATTGGCTAATTATATTTTATCAGAACCATTTTTAGCAAGTAGATAACTTACAAGTTGTTAATGGGTAAACTTTCAGTATAATTTTGTCATTGCATGAATGTTTTGTTTTTTTTTTTTGTTTTTTTTTATTCTTTTTAAGGCAATTATTTTCAGACTTGGGTAATTCTGAAGAAAAAATATTGGATAATTGAGATAAAAAAAAGTTTGTTATTAACATCAGTCAGTTATGTCCCATACGTGATACACGCTTAGGCGATCATGTATCTTTTGATACATGA